TGTCAGAAATGCACGGACTGCGACAGACCCGCGTCTAGCAAGGCGCATTTCAATCACTCAACGTCACGTAGGAACGTGCTTAATCGGAATTATGCGTGCTTGTCTCTGTCGCTGCTCACATGTGCCAAGTTCCCTGTTTCATATGGACAAAAATAACTGACATTTACCATGGACACTGCACAAACACTACCATATAGACTACACACAATACCTCTAAACTGCTTCCACACATTACTACTACTATTACCACTGCTACTGCTGCTATACCTGCTACCACTGCTGCTACATCTACTGCTACTACTACTACTACTACTACTACTACTACTACTACTACTACTACTACTACTACTACTACTACTACTATGACTACGACTCACGACTACGACTAACGACTACTACGACTTACGACTGCACTCACTACTAAACTACTACTACTACTACTACTACTACGGCGTACACTTTCACTTTACTTCACTTACGCTTTCTTTCACTTCTTCCTCACTCTTTCCTCCCCTTTAGGCCTTTACATGCATCTATAGTGCTATACCTCACCCCGTAATACGTTGTCGTGCTGCATTAACTAACGTACGCATCACACGCACGTGGTTTATAATGACCGCGAGGCAAGTTAAGGACGTTGCTGTTACAGTAAACACGTCACGTCAGCGTGAGTTTTTCACGACTTTAACAACGCAGTTCAACAAACTGTTTAGATAACGACGTAGGTGGTATAGCATGCATGAGATGCGCATCGCATGCACGCATCTTCCAAGAGCCGTCCACTTCCTGCTGCGCATATAGCCCTGTATAACCGATCGCGGTTGAGTGGATGTTTATATGCGGAGGTCCGTGGCACAACCTCACCAGCTATCGCTAGTCTTTCGTTGGTTTGTTTTCTTTATCAATGTTGATACCGTACCGCACAGGCTAGCATCCACGCTATATATTTTCATGAAAATTTTATTTAAATGCCATTTGAACAAACCGTAGCGCAAATAACAATAATATAAAACTTGCAACACGCAACCGGCGCAAAACTATCCAAACGTCAATACGGCTAACAAACGGCCACAATTCCGCGGTTTTACGCAGGGCGCCTAATACTTAATGTTGTTATGTTGCTACATTACTTATAAACGATATGTTGAATTTTGTCTAATGACGAGAGAGCGTACACGTCTTTAAATGCAACCTCGCAAGCCAGTTACTAAAATTGCGTTTTAGATATTTTACGCATAATATAAATAAATAAATAAATAAATAAATAAATATATATATATATATATATATATATATATATATAATGTGTGTGTGCGTTTGTGTGTGTGTGTGTGGTGTGTGTGTTTGTGTGTTGTGTGTGTGTGTGTGTGTGCGTCGTGCGTGTCGTTGTGTGTGTGTGTGTGTGGTGTGTGTGTGTGTGTGTGTGTGTGTGTGTGTGTGTGTGTGTGTGTGTGTGTGTGGTGTGTGTGTGTGTGTGGGTGTGTGTGTGGTGTGTGTGTGTGTGTGTGCGTTGTGTGTGGTGTGTGGGCTGCGTGCGTGTGTGACTCGTAATTTTTATCGTGGGAATAGTGGGGTTTTTCCATGCATAAGTTTTGCAATATTTTTATACTGCGATGTTGCATGACAAGTAAAAAGCCTAGCGTTTTCTGGAATAGACGTACGGCGTTGTAATGTTAAACTAATATATATATATATATATATATATATATATATATATTAAAATGGCGATTTACACATTATAATTACAATTTAAATCAAATTTAAAATAAATTATTTATAATAACTTTAATATCAATCTTATTCGCATATACATTTAAGCGACATAGAGCTGCATAAAAACATCACATGTATGAAAATTGCCCGCACAACCTGTTGATTAAGTTGTGGATAGACACTGAATAAAAACGAAGCTTTGGGGTATATGTGAGACATAAGTATTTGGTCATATAACACAAGACTGAATACGGTCGCGTCGAATTCCTTCATATCGTTCATAAGTGAACTCTCCTTTTCTCCAAATCAACAATAATAGTATAATGCATATTATGTCCGGTATGTTTTGCCGTGACGTAGGAAAATCACGGCTTTCTTGCTGTATAACACATAAATTGAAAGCAACGTCATTCTTTAAAAATGCGGGGGACACTCGGTCTGTCATTATTGTGCATTCCTTTACTAAAACCGCAAGATCGCACCAAGATATTTTAAGTTACGATTTCTATAACTGCATAATTAATCTGAAAGAAACAATTAAATGTTGTCGGGGGAAAGACCGACTGTAGACTAATTTTCATCAAAGTAAATATTTCCATTATCTCTCGGTATAAGGATCTGGTCGCATCGCGCCAGCTGCTGCAGTGTTTTAAGCAACGACTGGTTACAGCAATATTGTCAAGTTTGAACAAACATTGTCGCCATTGTTGACATTTTTCTACGACAACGTGGAAATTAGCACATTCGATCGAAGTGGAGATATATGATGCAATATTCATGAGCGATCGCATCTAGTCTGACAGAACAAGCAGAAACCTATTTGCGATAGACTCGTCGTGTGCCTAGCGCGTCTAGTATAACGCCAGACGAACACGACCAGTAACGACAGTCATCAAGCGGGAGATCGGCATCCGTAATAAGTACAGCTTCGAATAGCGAAGCAAATCAGATACGAATTATGTCTTCCGACATTTTCTGTGCTATTGTCGACAGTTGCCGCTACGTTGTTGCGGCTACGTTATTTTCCCCTCAATTGACCATCTCTCTGACGGTATTGATTCTACGGGCGTGGGTGGAAGCGAATGGCCGCACCACCCTCGCACTGTCTATCGAAAGGCATCTGATTGTTCTAGTGTCTATCGATGCAACTCTTATGTGCGGAATACTAACGAAGGGCCGGGTCACGATGATGCTGGCACGCCCGAACAAGCAGAGTCCACCGCTGACAACAGTAATTACCAACCTCACGTCCGAAAATCACATTACTCCGTCTATCCGCAGATCTGATTAGCTGGTGCTTAGCGAATTTGGCAGCGCCAACACATGGATGACCAAATCGGCATCGCTTGTTAGAACATTTCGTGCCAAATCAGGGAATCAGTAGAAACCTAGCACACGCGCACCGTGTGTGTGTGATGGTCAGACTTGCTGGCTCTATAATCCTGCAGTGAAATACCGCGTTTTGGGGGAGTGCTGGACCTTGCAATAGTTCAGTAGATTTCCTCCCACAAAGGTTTCTTCCGGTTTGCTTATAGCAGTTTCGCAGTCACTGGCCAATGGAAATTTAACTCTCATGCTATGGCAAGGACCACTCTTGGTTGATATTAACTTTCGAGAATTTATCACGCCGGTATAGAAAAGGTTCTTGAGTGACCAACACGCGGTTATTAATGCTTTACTAGATATGTCTGTGAAGACATGTATAGATTTGGTTCTATATTACATACATATATACGCGCGCGCGTGTGTGTGTGTGTGTGTGTGCGTGTGTGTGTGCGTGTGCGTGTGCGTGTGCGTGTGCGTGTGCGCGCGTGTGTGCCGATATGCAACGAGGTCACCTGAACAGTTGAATTGCATAGGTATATAACGGCTATAGGTATTCACCATTTCGATCACTATCCACCACTCCATCCACCACTATTCACCATCTCGCCAATCAATGAAAGAAAAAAACGTCGAGCGTTTGTTGGCTTGCTTTGTGACACATGTGCGCGTGAATGGGTAGCGCCTAAATATCGTCTCTACACATCAACTAGTTGCGTGTTTGCTGACACCTCAGTAACGGCAGGACGTCTGTATCGTTATATTGTAAAGGCGAAGAAACGAGAGAGGAGAAGACTCGGAGACGGAATTGAGTTCTTATTGCGCTACAAGAGGAAATTGGTCTGCTAGATACCACACTTAGCAGAAGATTTACTACCACTGGCCTTGGCCTCCAGCCACGAACCATCATGCACCGAGTTAATATATACATATAAGAAAATTCAATATATGTAATGAGAATTCCAGCAATTACGTGTGTCGGTAAGATTCTTATTACAATTACAAGTGGCGTACATATCTGAAACTTCCTAGAAGCACATAAAATTATTGGAATGTGAGTAAACAATGTGGAAATTGTATCGGCTTTTTTTAGCCTATTTTAGAACCTAAATTCTCCTTTCTAAAATTACGTTTCTGTTATCAAACTTCATTCGGAGTATTCGAATCAACACCAGAGATGTCATAATGTAAAAACAAATACATCATCATAGTTTTCCATTATAACTGCAGCAGGTTTTGCAACGTAACGCTGCGTTCGCTGGGCGGCGCCACCATGCACGCATTACACTATTTTGGCCAGTTAATGGTCATTAGGCTGTGAGAAAGCCTCATATCGGCTGGCGTATCTTTTAGAGAGAGAGAGAGGGAGAGAGAGAGCGAGAGAGAAAGAGGGAGGGAGGGAGAGAGAGAGAGAGAGAGAGAGAGAGAGAGAGAGAGAGAGAGAGAAGAGAGAGAGAGAGAGAGAGAGAGAGAGAGAGAGAGAGAGAGAGAGAAAAGAGAGAGAGAGAGAGAGAGAGAGAGAGAGAGAGATAGACGTACAGAGAGGGAGAGAGAGGCAGCCATATATATGCGCGTATATGAGAGAAGCTAGAATATATATATATATATTCCGCAAGTGGGTTCACGAACAACATTCGTCCTGTATAACTGTGAGCACATAATTATATCAATGATCTTGTCGATATCGATGATATATATTGATGAAATTGGGGTAATGAATGCGAAGTTATTCCCTTTTAATTTTGACAAGCCCTCATCCCACAACATTAGACGCTATATAGAAATGCTTCCAATGTAATATTTGATAAAATCATCAGGAGTGAATCATAATATATTCACTATTATTATTCACTCCTGATATAGTTATAGTTTTGACTGCATTTTCACACTATAGCACCGACCTAGTTCCATTCTACAAGCTACATCTATGTCAAATGAGAGAAAGTAATCAGCATACAACCAACTTCATGTGAATGTTATTTATTTGAGATAGCTGAAGATAAATGACACATGAACTAGAAATAACTTTGGAGCACAGTTACGTAGCAACGACCTATAACACAAAACTCTCCCATCGTGATAATAATACCATGATAAAGATAAAACCATTTCACATCGTGGCACTTCATGGCATCGTAAAAATAACCGATCAAAGACTACCACGACCAACTGTGAGTTCACAGCGTAAACATAAGATCGCAAACATCCAAATGGACACAGAGCTTTGTACGAAAGCAATGTTCTACAATTTACATACATGTATGTACAAGAAGAAGGAAGTACTACGTATCTAACGACAGCAGCGCAAACTACATAAGAAAGTTCAAATAGCTCAATAGATTTGACACGGAGAATACTGCGCTGATGACGTCATCATCCCGACGAAATCAAAACGAGGAGGTAAAAACTAAAAGACTTGGTTTCTGCGACCTTATTTACACTTGCAGCCGAAATTGATAACTAAAAATTACCAGCACATATCAAAATATATGAAGCTGGATAAACTGGCAAGAATTATCATGAGCGTCTACATAACGCTGCTCACCCTCATAGATATCTCTCTCTATATATACACACTAATGTGTACAACATAACTATGGTTCACCCGCCTCTGGGCTTAGATAGTACTACGCACATCAGTCACCAGGTGGCGTAGGCAGTCGACTCGCAGCTCAAACTCCACGACAGATGGCGCTCTCGCTCATGGGCTCAATCTACTGAGTGTACTGAGTGTACTTCGTATCCTGAGTGTACGAAGGGGCACTGCTGCCACTGCATGCAGTTTGCTCGCAGCTATCCATACAGAGGCAACTTTTTACACGCTTCGGAAGACATTTAATTTTTCCAACATTTCATGATTCCCGAAACTATAGGTGGTGAGATTTGGATTTGTAGCCATCGACGTATAAAATGGAAATCAACAGGAAGTACTAAAGATAATAATTGTCCCAACAGTCTGACGTTAAGCGCCAAGGCATCAAATCACCGCACCACCTACAAACTGTTTGCGTCAGTAGACATACGGTGTGTATACCAACAGCCTGCTCTTAAATAACAAAACCTACAATCGCGAGTGCATTTATATGCTGCTCCCATAACAACACTGACGCAGCAATATCATTGAATACAACTGTAATCACGGCTACAACCTAAATACCTGCATACACGAATATCAATCACAACGATTTCTCTGCGAGGATTCTACTAATCTAATGATATAAATACACTATAATCTAGCGAATAGTGTACAAAAATTACAAGATAAATACATGATATTTACAGTCAATCTACACCTCTCTCCCGCTCCTTCTCTCCCCTTCGCACCCCACTGTAACAGACTAACTAGAGATGTGTTTTTCTGCATTGCAAGGTCTTGTTACTGATTTAGACAGGTTACAATTATGCCAGTTGGAAAACATGTAGTAATCACATAACGTAGTTTGTAACAAAATAGATGCTTTCATAGATCACGCAGAAGCGACGCACAGCAAACGCACATCATGGGTGGTGTAGCATAGTCGCCACGTGTGATTGGTTCACACTTGTGATTGGTTGACTACTACACGTGGTCTGAACACGTGGAGAAGCTGACAGTGATAATCGCAGTGACTAGCACACGGCTGCTTAAACGAATCTCAACTCAAACGATACATGCTTATGTAAAATATATTATTTAATACTTATGTAACTCACGTCCAGAGATTTTTCCCACGCACATTACTAAGTACACCTCCTGTTTGTATTTACAACGTCCAACTACTTTCAATAAATTCACCCGTCATTAAGCTTATTCATACAAATACTGAAACATGAAAAGCTTATCATTTACCGTAAGCTTGTATCTCTTAATAAACATGCATACCATTCACTAATCAGTCATATAAAAACGTCTGTATATTCACATACTTTTATCAACAACAATCTTATTCGAAATAATTTATGCTAGAGCAATATGTGTCAAAAACGAATTCATGTAATAATAAAATTAGGCAATTTAGGATAAAGAGTATTATTCACTTATTGTTACTATTATGCCAGGATTGTTATGTCAACGAATATCTCTTTGTATTCATTCAGTAGTATGCAGTGTAGTAAATAATGGCTGCTGTCACCATGGCAATGGTTTATCATGAAGCTGTCACAATGGCAGCAGTTTATCATGGAGCTCTGTCACCATGGCAACAATTCATCATAAAGCTGTTACCATGGCAATGGGTAATCATAAAGCTGTCACCATGGCAGCAGTTTATCGTGGAGCTACCAGCATGGAGTCGTGGACAGTAAAGATTTTGCGCCTACCAACAGCTGAAGCTGATGTTCGTGCAGTAACGTGCGCAATGTCCAAGCACAGCTCGCACGCCCCGATGCTATCTGTACCCCGGCTACGCTCAGCTACGTATCGTGGTAGTGGTGGTAGTGGTGGTGGTGGTGGTGCTCGTGGTGGTGGTGGTGCTCGTGTCGCTGTATGACAATCTTGCCCGGCTCCACCTTCTCCTCGTACGTGACAAACTCGCTCTCGATCCACGCGGCCACCTGCTGCATCGCGAGCCTGCGATCGCGCTCGCGGTGCCGGTGGTGGCGCCGGTGATGCGCCGACGACGACGCCTCTATGTCCTCCAAGCGCAGGCCCTGAACGGCCATCTCCTCCAAGCGCAGGCCCTGAACGTGCATGCTGGTCGGCCGCTGCGCGTGCCCCCTGGCGACGTACGTACTGCGCTTGTGCTGCGCCCTGGCGGCCGGCTTGTGCCGGTGTTGTTCCTCGAGCGAGCGCGAGCGTCTCGGCGGTTTCTCCTCGAGCAGCTTGAGGCAGCGTTCGCTCGGGATGTTCAGGTCGTAGTGCTTCAGACTGTCGTATCGCACCTCATGCGAGCGCGACCGGTGCTGCCTCCCCACGGCCGCTGCCGCCGCCGCCGCCGCCGCCGCCGCCGCCGCCGTCCTGCTCGCACAAGGAGTCAGCGCCGTCTCCGCGTCGCGATTGTTCTCGGGAGACTCCTGGAAGCGGCACGAGTAGTTCTCAATGCCGGCGAGGTCCAGGTAATGATTGCGTCGGTCCGCACTCTCGCTCAGTAGCGTGTGCTCCCGGTTGTTACCGAACTTTGGCTTCGACTTGCCAAACGGTGTGGCGCCGCCGTCCGTCGGCAATACCAGCGTGACGGACTTAGCTGGCGTTGTAACCACCTTGCCGCTGTGGTCGCAATTCTGCTTCCTGTAGTAGAAGCAGAGGTGAATGCATTTGATTACTTCAGTACATATCGCCGACAAGGGTAATGAAAGTTTAAAAAAATTAAACAAATATAAAGCGTAATAAACGCGAATGAACAAATAGAATTTTCGACAAGCACACTACTGAAATAACAGTCAAATGAAAGAGACACAAGAAGAGAAAGAGAACACAAAGAGAACACTCATATGGAAAGCATTTTTGTACCAAAAAGCATAAAACCTAGTTTTAGACCTTAAAACCGGGTTTTAATGTATTAAAACCCGGTTTTAAATTGACTACGTCACGAATTTCCTATGGTAAAATTGTTTTTTTTAAATTGCCATTTTTTTACATTAAAAGTAAGAACTAACGTTACTAAATATATCCTCAAACTCTCACCTGATAAAAATGTTTTTACGTTGGTTAAATTTGCAAAAATCTAGACGATTTGGTAATTTCTGTTGTCTAACACTACTCCCCCAGCACTGTTCAGATACTGGCGTCTCTCGGTTTTTCACCGGCAAAATTAGGGCATATAAAGAAGGTATATAAGCATGAAAAGTAAACAGAAACACTAATTGTATTTTCATACATTTTATTTTGTACAAATAACACACAAATATACTACTTGATGGTGCTAGAAATTCGTGACGTAATCACTTTAAGGTCTAAAACTAGGATTTAAGGTCTAAAACCAGGTTTTAAGGCCTAATACCCGGTTTTATGGCTTAAAACTAGGTTTTAAGAGCTTAAAACCGGGTTTTAGACCTTAAAACCGGGTTTTAAGATCTTAAAACCGGGTTTTAAGATCT